CCCGTGCTGCTCGACGATGCGCCTGACCAACTCTCCATAGTCATGCACGTGGCCGCTGTACACTGCCGCCATGAAAGTAAGGTAGACTGGCACCCACTGGTCAGGCCGCAGGCGACCGTCCAAGTGGCGCAAATGCTGGGCGGCCTCCTTCGCCGCCACAGCCAACTTGGACAGGTCGATGTGGATGGTGGCACGTGAGCAAGTCATGAAGGTCTCATGCGAATGTAACACGTCGTCCAAGGCCATCTGGGCATACGTCGCACGGAGCTGCATGAACCACAACAGGTCCTCGACCTTGCCGAAATGTCGCAGTATGCATGCCGGCAATTGGGACGTCAACTTGAGGTACGAGCAAGCTTGCTGGCAGAGAGTCACGACGCCGTTTGGCATGACACCATCCATCTTCTCGTACACGAGCTCGAGGGCACATCGGGTGAACTCCGACACTGAGGCGTCGTCACTGGGACGAGTAGCAGCATCTGCAAGTACCTTCCCGGCGCGTCCGTCGTTGGCCCCGAGATGGTCGTACATATCATCGATCAAGCTGCGGTAGGCTGGGTGGCGCTTCGCGGGGATGCTGGCCTTGTTGGCAGCGATGAAATCGGTCAACGTGTTGGTCCACTCGGTCGCCCCCGACTGCAAATCAGCTAGGAGCCTCGTCTGGACTGAGGCGCGGACGTCGACGTCGACGGTCGTGGATGCGTCGAGGCTGGACTCGAGAATATCTTTGACGCTCTGCACGGGCTGGCCCTCGTCGCCACCAACGCCGAAGGCTCCGACGCGGCTCATCGCAGTGGCGGTTGCGAGGTCGCGGAGCTTGGGCCGCAGATCCGACCACTTCGTGTAGGTAGTTGCTCCCATGCGTATCGTGCCCTGGAAGCAAAACTCGATAGCGGGTGTGATCAGTTGCTTGAAGATCGCCATCTGGTCCGCATCCTCGAGCTTGCACTCTGACACCGCCGACAAGATGCAAGACATTGCATCTAGGAGCCACACCTTGTGATTATCCATGTTGGTCATATCCTCCTGCGGAATGCATTTCGATGACACCTTGGCCACCTTGGCTGAAGCCTTGGCGGAGCCCTTGACTTGGGAGTAGGACACGCCACCGCCCGCGTCCGTTGCTGCCTGTGCCGCGGCTGCAAGCTGCTTCTCCTTGAGCTTCCGAGCAAGCTCGACGCCGCGCTTGACCACCACGCTATCTGCCATTGGTTGCACCAGCCACTTGCACTTCTCGAGCTGTATCTTGTCGAAGACGAACGGCGGCGCGCGCCCGCCCGTGCACTTCACGGGCACGCACATCGGAAGGATAGCGAACCAGACGATCTTCAGGTACTCGATGCTGGTGGAGGCACGCATGACATCATGGAAGACCGACACTGCGATGTGGTGAAGGTTGAATATCGCCACTGTGTTGTCCATGCGCTTGTCGTTAAAGATGCAGTGGGTGCCGAGGTAGTCGAACGTAGCGTCGGTGAGGTTGTACCGCTTGAGCGCATTGAGAAGGGCCTGTGGACGGCGACGCGATGCGACGAGTGATGGGGAGGGGCGATATCTGTCGGTTCGACAAACCAGGCGTGGCCCGAGAGCCATCGAGTGTAACGGTTGGGCCCTGGGGTCCTGGAAAAAACGTCGGGATCGCGGACTCGACTGACATGGGCCCTCCACATCCCTCATCGCACTCAGTCCTCAGCCGCCCTCCACTCGTGCCCTGAAGCTTCAGAATCGCATGAGGAATCTGAACGGCGGTGGTGGCGGTGAAAAGCTAGGTTGCCGACGGCAGTCCTGGGCAGAGACCATCTCGTTGCCGCTCTTGAACTTCCTGTCCTTCTCGGGGTACCTGTCGACGATGAAGTCCCATATGCATCCGTACTCGTCACCCTGGACAGCCTTGTTGGCCTTGAACGCTGCAATGTAAGTCTTGGCAAGATTGAACATCTGCAAGAGAGTGAATGTCGAGCCCTTGTGCCAGTCGTTGTGGAAATCGATGAGGAACCTGATGACGTCGTCTGGCGTGCGGTGGTCCAGCACCGTCATGTGGCGAAGCCCTTGCTTCAACGTAAGTTTCACCATCTTGTTCTTGGGATCCTCAGCAGCCGCCCGGTAGACAGCGCGGCTGAGCGTGCCGTACGAGATCATCAAGTACGGCAACTGCCCACCTGGCGAGAAGACGGCCCACGGGTCTCCGCGGACCCCCGCGACGTTGCCGTCCTCCTTTATTGACTCGGTATATTCAGCCACGACTGTGTCCTGCCGCCGCTCGTTCAAGGGGTGAGGCTTCATCGTCCTCTGCCCAGACTCAGTAAAAAACTTCACAGTGATGTCACGCTGCCCAGTGACCGCATACATGTCCCACAGCTTCTCCAGCAGGGCTGCGCCCTTGAGGTTCTTGAGGCCGGGGCGCTGGTAGATCGTCTCGCACGGCTGGAACTTGGGATCGTCGCCGCCGACGGCCGCGTCGGCCGTGGCCATCTTGGTCACGCAGTTCTCCTCGTCCTCGTCGCTGTCTATGGCCCTGGCGCCAGGCCCAGTGTCATCAGAGTCGCTGCCGACGTGGGTCGTCCTCTTCTGCCGAGTCTGATTCGCCCTGGCATGCTTGGTCTTGGCGGGGGCGGCGGAGGTGCTGGCGATCTTGGCGGCGGGGCCCTTGTAGTCCTTGGCCAGCTTCGCCCGCTTGGGCGGATTCGGCACAGGTGCGTCCAAGCGAGCAGCTGATCCAGCTGCACGGTAGCTCCTCCTCTGTGGCTCGGGCAGGGGCGCCGCGTCGTCGGACGACGACATGGCGGCGGCCTCGTCTGACGACGACATCCACGAGTCGAAGGAGCGAGGGTACAGCGCTCAGAAATCAGAAGAGATCCGAATGCTGAAATGGCTGCGGGCAAGGGCCCAACAGGGCACGCAGAGGGCGGCCACGGGTGCGCTTGCTATGCCAAGCCGCTGGTTGGGCTTGGGGCCCCATGAGGAACCCGAGGGGGCCTCGAGAAGGCTATGGGGCTCCAAGGAGGCAGCGAGCGTCTTGTGACGGCATCTAGAGAGCTCCGCGAGGGCCTGTGTTTATAAGCACTTCTAGGGCCTTCTGGGAGCTCCACAAAGTGCTCGAGAAGGCGTCGGGAAGGCGTCGCGACGGCGTTACGGCGGCACGCGAGGGCCCCAAGACGGCATGGGCCCCACTCCCAGGCTCGCCTCAATCACCATCGCCTTGGGGGCTCCAAAGGGGCCAAGAGGGCTCCACGCAGCACGGGCCCGCCTCCCAAGCTCGCCTGTGTGGATATCCGCTACCATCGCCCCAGGGTGGCCCAAGGGGGGCCTCGGAGGGCACCGAGCCGCTCGGCCCCCCCCCCCTCCCCCTCCCCGAGATCCGATTACCTTCACCCCAGGGGACTTTAAGGGGTGCCCAAGAGGGCTCCAAGCCGCGCGGGCACCACCCTCCCAAACTCGCCTGAGTGGATGTCCGACCCCTCGTGATCCAATCGCCATCGCCCCAGGAGGGCTCCAGGGGGGGTGTCCAAGCCGCGCGGGTCCCCCTCCAAGGCTCGCCTCACTGCATGGCTGGATATCAGCCCCACCCGAGACCTAAATAACCCCAGGGGGCACCGAGTAGAGCGCCCCCCCCAGGCTCGCCAGATTGGATGTCTGCACCCCCCAAGATCCAACCACCCTCGCCCCCGAGATCCACGGGGGGGCCCAACATGGCTCCGAGCCGCGCGGTCCTCGCCTGATTAGACGTTATCCTGTCTCTCGCGGGGGGAGGGGGGGGGGCGTCTACCAGGAACTAGGAACAGTCCGAGGCATGCGCGGGCCCGCCGCACAGGCTCGCCTCATTGTGTATGTGGACGCCGCCTGATACATAGGCTAGACAGAGATGTAGCTGGCCCACCCGACTTAGCAGAACGCACGTGGACGTGGCGAGCACACTCGCACAAGCACCCGCGTGACACGCGTGGACACGTACGCAAGGCCAGCCTGACAGAAAGTGTACCATCGCAACACACTGTGGATTGTGGACATGCATCAGTACGCCAACGCAGCGCGTGGTCATCACCACCAGTGTCACACTCACACATCGCGGCGGGCATCGCAGCCCCCCCCTCTGAAATCGGAGGCGAGGTGGTAAGATTGCAGTGGAACGGATAGCACTCACCAGGACATCGGTTTCGTTTTCGTGGTCGCGTCGTGCGTGCGGGCGAGGCGAAGCTGCGTGGGGAGGACTGGTGCCGCCGTGACTTGGGGCAGCGCGGCTGGCCGCCCTCCCCCCCCGCGCGCGGTGGCCAGGGGTGTGTCCCGTCGGCTGCGCGTCGGCGTCCCGTCGGTGTCCCGTCGGTGCCTCGGCGGGGTGTCCCGTCGGTGGCGCGGATGTGCGATCGATAGCGGGGTCGATACTAAGATCGATAGTGAGATCGGTTGTGAGATATGTTGCGAGATCGGAAGCGCCGCGGGGAAGCTCCTGCGGTAGTTAAGTGGCGGTTTGCCGCAATGCACACACGGCCGAGCCGAGCCCCAGGACGAAACGCAGTTATCAAGGCGCCCGCACCACCACGTCGAGGCTCACATGAATGCATCTGCCCAGCCAGAACCAGATAAAAATAATCACACCAGGTTTTTGGGCAGGATAGGGCGAGGGTCCGAGGGCCCTTTCACGAGATAAAATTATCACCACGAGGCGCGCCCAATAACGAGATAAAATTATCACATCGGGGTTCGCCCGCTGGGGCGAGGGCCTTTCCCGAGATAAAATTATCACCGCGAGGCGCGCCCAGGAACCAGTTGAAATTATCGCATCGGGTTTCGCTCGCTGGGGCGAGGGCACATCCCGAGTAATTATCACCGAGAGGCGCGGCCTGGAAACAAATACAATTATCGCACTCCACGAGTGGGCCCGCCCGACCGCCCAGACAGCACCCCGGGCCTCCATGTGCCTCGCTCCCTGCGGGGCCCCACCCCCAGAACCGCCCTCCCCAGCGCAACCGCCGCCAGCATGAGCGCCAGCACAACCGCCACCACCATCACAACCACCACCAGCGCAACCACCATCAGCACAACCACCACCACAACCACCAGCACAACAACACAACGACCATCAGCACAACGACCACCAGCACAACCACCACCTGCGTAACCACCAGCACAACCACCAGCACGACCACCAGCACAACCATCATGGACCATCAGCACAACCACCACCAGCACAGCCACCAGCACACCAACCAACAGCACCACCCCCACGAGCACAACCACCAGCACCACCACCAGCAAAACCAAAAACAGCACAAGTGACCACCAGCACAACCACATGCGCAACCACCAGCACAACCACGCAGCACAACCAATGGCACAACCGACAGCACAACCACCACGAGCACCACAACCAGCACAACCACCAGCACAACCACCAACAGCACAACCACCAGCGCAACCACCACCAGCACAACCACCACCAGCACGACCACCACGAGCACAACCACCAGCACAACCACCACCAGTACAACCGACATCACGACCACCAGCACAAGCACCACCAGCACAACCACATCAGCAGAAACACCAACATAACCACCACCAGCACGATCACCACGAGCACGACCACCGCGAGCACAACCGCCAGCGCAACCACCTGCACGACCACCAGTCAGCACGACCACCAGCGCAGCCACCAGCACAACAGCACAACCACAGCATCACCGCCAGCGCACAACCACCATCGGCACCACCTCCACCAGCGCAACCACTAGCACAACCACCCGCCAGCACAAGTGACCACCAGCACAACCACCAACCACCATCAGCACAACCACCATCAGCACACTCAACAGCGCAACCACCAGCACAACCACCATTAGCGTAACCAGCACCAGCACAAGCACAACCACCAGCAAGGCCACCCCAACCACCAGCACAGTCACCAGCGCAACCACCAGCACGACACAAGCATAACCGCCAGCACAACCACCACGAGCACCACAACCAGCACAACAGCACAACCAGCCCAACCACCACCAGCACAACCACCAGCGCAACCACCGCCAGCACAGCACGACCGCGGCAGGAACACTAGCAACAACGGTGGGAACACCAAGTGACCAAGTGATTGTGGTATGATCGTGGGGGGGGGCAGTTTCGGGGCGCCTCTTGGGCTCCCGTGGGGCACTCTTGGAGCTCATCTCAGCTCAGCGCCTCCGAGGCTGTCCCAAGTGTTTCGGCGGAGCCGACTAGGGCGGCAATAAGGCTCGAAGACGGCCCCGAAACGGTCAACAGGGCCTCGGAAACGAGCCCCGACATAATCATACCAATGGCCTTTGGTATGATTATGTCGGGGTCTGGCTCGGGGCTCCTCTCGGGCTATCCTCGGGCCATCCTAAAGCTTTTTTTGAGAAGGGCGGAGTGCAGCACCGAAAAGATCCGACAGGGTCGTGGATACCAGCCCCGAGAGAATTATATATGTGTGTATATATATATATATGTATACATGTATAGATTTACCGAAAGGCCTAGGGCCATGGTATGCTTACGTCGCGGGGCTGGTTCGGGGTTCCTCGTGGGCTCTCCTGGAGACCTCCTAACACTTGTTTGAGGCCCCCGAAGCGGTCTTGGCGGGGCACAAGAGGGTTCCAAGAAAGGTGGGGTGCAGCTCAGAAAATATCAAACCGGGCCTCGGAAACCAGCCCCGATAGAGTCATACCAACGGCCTTTGGTATGATTACGTCGGTGGCTGACTCGGGGCTCCTATCGGGCTCTCTCTGGGCCATCCTAAACTGTTGCACATCGGGTGAGGTATCCGAAGCGGTCGTGGAGGGGCCCGAGAGGGCTCAACGACGGGCGGACCGCAGCGCTGGAAATAACCAACAGGGCATCGGAAACCAGCCCCGACAGAATCATACCAAAGGCCGTTGGTATGATTCTGTCGGGGGGCTGGCTTGAGGCGCCATTTCCATGTGGGCTCTATTGGGGCCGTGCTAAAACTCCTGGAGCCGGTTGTCCGCCCTCCCCCGCCCGTGCACGCGCGGGGCGGGTCCGCGCAGCCGGGCCGGGCTGACCTCGAACCGCCCCTCGGCCAGGTCGGCGCCGACGTCGTCGCTGAATTCCAGGCGGCAGCGCCTGCCGCTCCCACCCGCGGGGGGGTATCGTACCATGATCACCGTGACCCCTCGTCAGCATCATCGCCCCCGTGGCCTCGTCAGTGTCCTCGTCCTACCCATCGTACCCTCAACATCCGCCTCATCATCATCAGCAGCATCATCATCAACAGCAGCATTATCACCATCAGCATCGTCATCATCATCATCATCATCATCATCATCATCATCATCATCATCATCATCACAATCAGCACCATCATCATCAGCAGCAGCAGCACCATCACCATCACCCTGATCTCATCATCCTCATCCTGATCCTCATCCCACCCCTATCAGCATCAGCGTCATCATCATCATCAGCATCAGCAGCATCGTCATCCTGATATCCTCCTCATCCTCATGGCTACCGTCACTGCCATCGTTGGTCAGACGGTCAGATTGGACAGCGCGGGCAGGATAGATCGAGAGAGCGTGAGAGCGGAAACACTTAGAGCAGACCTCTTCTGGCACTGGACGCACCCTGGCCCCCCGGCGCCCGCGTGTCCGACGACAGGGATACCAGAATGAGACGTTGCTGGGATCATGGGCAATGCGAGGGAGGGAGTGTAGCATCCGTTTCAGCAGTGGCGAACCACAGAGAGTGGCATTACGAATTGTCATTGCGACGTCGCAAAGTCACGCACGAGTGTCTTACACACTCCGAGCACAGCTGTAGCCAGAAATGCAGCACGAGAAACATGTACATAGCATGCGGCAGCATGCGCGTGAATGCGTGCTGCGTGTGCGTGTGTTCGTTGGTCATACATGACATGGGCATGATAGGCATGTGCTCGGATATGCCTTTAACTTGTCAACGCACACGCGCGCGTGCTGTGTGAGGCGCCCACGCGCATCAAAGGCATCGTGATCACACCTATGCGTGCGAACACTCGCGAAGCAATTCCGAAACAACTAAATCTGCGCACTATGCGGTGTCCCAGGCGTCTGGGGCCCAAACAAGCTGGTCGCCCCGCTGGACCCGCGCGAGCACGTACAGCCAGTGCACTCCACAGACGTGCAAGTGCATCGTATTCCCTGCCTGCATCATGATGCCATGGCGCGTGCGCCCCGCGCGCTCGAAGTTAAACGAGCACAGGCTACGACACACATTAGAACGAGGCGTTGCTAAGTGCTGCAGCACTGGATACCCCTGCGTGGCCAAAAGCTCACGCGGCGTGAGCCAGCGCTTGATCGCATCGTAAAAGATCAGCTGCGGGTTGCGGATCACGGTGCTGAGGAAGTGGGGCGTGCTGGACCAGCCTCGGCCGTCTTGATAGCTCTGGCCCAGGTTGTGGCAGCAGCCTGGCACGGTACTCTTCTGGTACCCTTCGAGCTGAGCCAGCTCCCACTGGGTCAGACTCTGCACGAACGCCTCGCTGCCAGGCTCGACGTCTGCGAGCGTCACGGGCACTTTGTAGCGCATGCTGCCAGGCCGACTGCGAGCCCACTCCAACTCCGACATGAGCTCGTCCGGCGTGGCCATGACGAACGCCCCCAGCGTGCACCGAAGCGTGCGATGAAACAAGGGCACGAGGTTGGCAAAGCTGCACCGCACCTTACATGGCAGCACGCGCGCATGGCGCAAGCATCTGACGATCACACAACAACCCTGGGACCCTGGATGCCTGGAGCCGAAGACGCCACCACGATAGTGCTGACGCTCTGATCGGATCGGATCGGTCGAGCGAACACACGCGACCACCTCGAGCTCCTCATCCTCGTCCTCCTCCTCCTCCTCCTTCTCCTCCTCCTCCTCCTCCTCCTGCTCCTCCTCCTCCAGCCTCCTCCTACTCCTCCTCCTCCTCCTCCTCCGTCTCCTCCTCCTCCTCCTCCTCCTCATCCTCCTCCCCCCCCTCCTCTCCTCCTTCCCCTCCTCCTGCGCATCCTCTTCCTCATCCGTCTCATCCTCTTCCTCCTGCGTCGGGGCTCGGGGTGCGACTGAGGCTGGCACGTCCATAACGAACGTCTTGTGCAAAAGGATCGTGAAGCGGCGCATGCGCCGGACAGGCCAGCCGAGCTCGGCTGGTTCGATGATCACACTCGACACTACATACATGTGCCCGAGCATGTCGGTCAGCACCCCGAGCTCAAACCGGTGCGAGTTCTCATGGATCACCACCGCTTCTTGCAGCAGGAGGCGCATGGCCACCCACACTGCGAGCAGGCACGAGGTCTTGCCCGCCTCGCGGTCGTTGGTGCCGATCGGCGCCCAGTCTGGGCACGGGGTCCCAGCCCAGTGGACTTTCCCCGTCAGGTGGTGACAGTGAGCCTTGCACCTCGCACACCAGGCGAACGAGCGCACTGCCCCGCCACGCTTGACGATGGGCCTCAAGTCGTCGAGCGTCACGGCGCGGCCAGCGTTGACCAATCGTGAAATTGTAGCGGCGACGTCGGGCACCCAGAAGTCCATGATGTCATGGTACATGTGCTCGGGGCGGCTGTGCGGCTGGCGGGCGAGCTCCCTGTTGGCGTCTGCTGAGATCTCCACCGACGCCAGATGGCGCATGGGCTGGATAGGGCCGCCAAGCATGTCCTCGAGCGTTGCCGTGAGCACTGCCGCCGATGTACCGGGGGCGTCGATACCTGAGAAGGCAGTCGTGTACGTCGTGGCGTGGATGGCGCGGCGGAGGTCGTACAGCACCCCGCTGCCAAGCTCCGATGCAAGGGCTCGGAGGGAGTCGTGCGCCCAGCTGAACATGTCAGCGGTGTTCCTGACGACGGGCTTCTCCCAGCGCCACCGATCTGGCAACTGCTCCCGCGATGCTGCTGCTGGTGCTGCTGCTGCTGCTGGATGTGGCCGCGACGATGGCGACGGTGGCTGGCGCACCTTGCCAGCGGGCGTCTGGGCGACCGACATCCCTGATGAGTGAGACGCCCCACGGTGGAGGCTGCGCGCGTCGGACTCGCCGGGCTCGACCTTGATGTTGACGGAGACGGCGTCGACCAGCGACGCGTCGTCGGAGGCGGCGTCGGGCTCGGGCTTCACGGCGATCGCCGCAGCCGCGGCTGGCGCCGCGCACGCACCCGCAGCAGCTGCATCATCGGAGCGCTGCACTGGCGCCGCCGATGCCAAGTCGCAGGGCTGCTGGAGCGCCGCCGACGCCAGCTCGCCAAACGCGACCGGGGCGGGTGACGTGGGCAGCCCGGCCAGCGGCGCCGGCAGGTCGGCTGGGGCCGCGAGCCGCTGCTGCTCGGGCGCCAGGCTGGGCGGCGCTGGCGGCTCGGACGTCGGCGGCACCGACCCACTGGCCAGACTGGCCAGCGCCTCGCAGGCAGAGCCCTGGCGCGATCGGGCTGGGGATGCGGCGCCAGAGGCAACGCCTCCACTGTGCTCGCCTGCCGCTGCAGCAGCGCCACGTGGCCCCGCAAGGTCCACGCCAGCGCTGGCGTCCGCACCGTCGCCGCCATGCGACGCACCGTCGCACGCTGGCTGCAGTGATGGGCTGGATGCGGGGGCGCCGCTTGTGCCGTCGACACCTGCGCCGGCTGCTGCCCCCGTGGCCGCCTGCACCCGCGCCACCACAGCTGCTGGCTCCACTCCGAGCTGCACCAACGCCGTCGCGCAGGCGAGCTGGGCAGCATCATCGGCGGCAGCCGCCAGCCTAGCTGGCAGCGGCGCCGACGCCTCGAACAGGGCATCACCATCACCGTCCGGACCACCGCCGCTCGCGAGCACCAGGGCAGCAGACACCGCAGCCGGCGCGGCCTTGGACTTGGCCGCGGTCGCAGCGGGCGGGCCTCGCCGCGCGCCGTCAGGCTGACCCGCGGCTGGTGCACCCACTGCTGGCGCGCGGGGAGCGCGGGCGGCGGCCTTCGCGGCCTTCGGGCTGGCCGCCGGGGTGGTGCGGCGCTGCAGCACTCGGCGTACGTCTGGCACCCCAGCTGGCGCGGGTGCGTCCCGCTTGGCATGGCGGCGGGACGTCATTAGGATGCAGCTGGACCGCCGGGACCCTGAACATGGAAGCCAAAATGGCTACGGAATGTGCACGGTGGATGGGTGCAGTGACTCATTAGGACACGCGTGCGTTGGCACGGCACGTGACACGTGAGTGGTGCGAGTGTCCCGGGTAGTGTTGCCAACTAATAGGCGTGCTCACGACAGAGACCAGAGTGAGTTGGCGGCGTGCAATGCTGAGTCCAGGAACTACAATACGTGTACACAACCATACAGGACGTGAGCACTGAATGTAATGGTCCCGCACATAGGACCAGGACGTGGTTCCTGGATTTGATGGTGTGGGCAGCAGATCCAGGAAGTACTTCCTGGATTTGGGCATGGGATGGCCCAAAACCAGGAACCACGTCCTGATAATGCGCCGAACTGCAGCTGGGGCCAGGAACTGGTTCCTGATTCACCCGCCCACGCGAGGAACTGCTTCCTGGATTAGAGCCCCCCTGGAGCTGGGAGTCAGGAAGTGGTTCCTGGATTTCGGTGGTGACTAGGCAGATCGGGGAAGTGGTTCCTGGATTTGTACCGACGTGGCCACATAGGGCCCAACACCCAGGAAGTGGTTCCTGGCGTGGGAGAGGCGAATCCATGAACCACGTCCTGACCACGGGCTGAACGGCGGCTGGATCCAGGAACTGGTTCCTGGGTCACCCGCACAGGCGAGGAACTGCGTCCTGGTTTAGGGCCCCCCCTGGAGCTGCGAATCAGGAAGTGGTTCCTAGAATGCGCCCATGACGAGGCCGATCGGGGAAGTGGTTCCTGGGTTGGCGCCGATGTGGCCCCATAGGGTGGCCCATCCAGGAACTGGTTCCTGGCGGGGTCCTGATTCGCCCGAGCACGCGAGGAACTGCTTCCTGGATTAGGGACCCCCCCCCATGGAGCCGGTCATCAGGAAGTGGTTCCTGGAGGTCGGTGTTGGCGGGGCCGATCGGGGAAGTGGTTCCTGGACGTGCGCCGATGTGGCCCATAGGCCCATCACCCAGGAAGTGGTTCCTGGCGGGGAGAGGCGAATCCGTGCACCACGTCCAGACTACGGGCTGAACGGCGGCTGGATCCAGGAACTGGTTCCTGAGTCACCCGCCCAGGCGAGGAACTGCGTCCTGGATCAGGGCCCCCCTGGAGCTGCGAATCAGGAAGTGGTTCCTAGAATGCGCCCAGGACGAGGCCGATCGGGGAAGTAGTTCCTGTATTGGCGCCGATGTGGCCCCATAGGGTGGCCCATCCAGGAAGCGGTTCCTGGCGGGTTCCTGATTCACCCGCCCACGCGAGGAACTGCTTCCTGGATTAGCCCTCCCCCCCACCCATCGGAGCTGGGAATCAGGAAGTGGTTCCTGGGTGCCAGTGCTGGCGAGGCCGATCGGGGAAGTGGTTCCTGGATTTGCGCCGATGTGGCCCCATCGGGCCCATCACCCAGGAAGTGGGTCCTGGCAGGGGAGAGGCGAACCCATGCACCACGGGCTGAACAGCGGATGGATCCAGGAACTGGGTCCTGCGTCACCCGCACATGCGAGGAACTGCGTCCTGGATTAGGGCCATCCCTGGAGCTGCGAATCCAGAAGTGGTTCCTGGAATGCGGCCCTGACGAGGCCGATCGGGGAAGTGGTTCCTGGATGTGCGCCGAGGTGGCCCCATAGGTTGGTCCATCCAGGAGGTTGTTCCTGGCGGGTGCCTAAGTTGTCCGCCCACTCGAGGAACTGCTTCCCGGATTAGCCCCCCCCCCCTGGAGCTGGGAAACAGGAAGTGGCTCCTGGAGGTCGGTGTTGACGAGGCCGATCGGGGAAGTGGTTCCTGGATGTGTGCCGATGTGGCCCCATATGGCCCATCACCCAGGAACTGGTTCCTGGCGGGGGAGAGGCGAACCCATGCGCCACGTCCTGACCACGGGCTGAATGGCGGATGGATCCAGGAACTGGTTCCTGGGTCACCCGCCCAGGCGAGGAACTGCGTCCTGGATTAGGGTCCCCTGGAGCTCCGAATCAGGAAGTGGTTCCGAGCGGTCGGCCCTGACGAGGCCGATCGGGGAAGTGGTTCCTGGATGTGCGCCGATGTGGCCCCATAGGGTGGCCCATCCAGGAAGCGTTTCCTGGCGGATGCCTGAGTTGCCCGCCCACGCGAGGAACTGCTTCCTGGATTAGCCCCCCCCCCTCCCCCCGCCCCCCCCCCCTGGAGCCGGGAAACAGGAAGTGGTTCCTGGAATGCAGTGGCGGCGAGGCCGATCGGGGAAGTGGTTCCTGGATGTGTGCTGCCGTGGCCCCATAGGGCCCATCACCCAGGAAGGGGTTCCTGGCGGGGGAGGGGCGCACCCAGGACCCACGGCCTGACCACGGGCTGAACGGCGGCTGGATCCAGGAACGGGTTCCTGAGTCACCCGCCCAGGCGAGGAACTGCGTCATGTATTATGGCGCCATCTGAGCTCAGAAGCAGGAAGTGGTTCCTAGAATTCGGTCCTGACGCGGCCGATCGGGGAAGTGGTTCCTGGTTGTGCGCCGAGGTGGCCCCATAGGGCGCATCATCCAGGAAGCGGTTCCTTGCTGGGGGGGGGGCGGCGCCAGGAACCACGTCCTGTGAGTGGGTGGCATGCAGTTGCCACTGTAAGACGTGGGTCCTGGGCAGTGGGGCCCTGTTGGTTCTCAAATAAATGCCCGGGGGGGAGGGGGGTGCAGGGCCGCCCGGGATCGCCCTGAGCCCTCCTGGGCAGTTTTGCGAGGACCCAAGGGGATCCGTTGTGGTACTTGAACAAACTGCCCGGGTGGGGGGGGGGGGGCGACCTCGGGTGGCCCGGATCCCTCCACGGGAACACATCTGGCGCTGCGGGTCAGGACGTGGTTCCTGGATGGGGGCAGTGGCGACGCCGACCAGGGAAGTGATTCCTGGAGTTGAGCCGATGCGGCATCGCGTCGTAGTCGTAGCCGACCCCGACGGGGATCATGGCTTAGGTGGAGGGGGCAAACAACGCAGCCGCTGCATGGGAGTGGGCGGGACGAATATGGGACGTCCGGCATCCAAGGAATCATTTCTCCGAGTCGGGGTGGGTGACGACGGTGACGACGATCGCTCGCATGCAGCGGCAGCGGCGCTGGCGGGCACCCCGCCTCGATGTGGCCCCTCCCCGCGCACAGGTGTGACCACGGACCCGTGGAACGTGCCCGTGTTGATGGAGTCCACGATGTACGGTCGCCTGGCGGGCACGGGGGCGATGGGCAGAGCGGGGAGGGGGTGCGATGGGCGGAGGCCAAGGCGACCACCCGTCCACCAGCATCTCGCCACTGTCTCGGCACCATGGTTGTGCCACCTCACTCGCCACGACCCTTACACAAAACACGACAGCATTCGACGTCGCAATCTACAGTCGCTGGAAATCAGCATCGCACGGACATGCAAGCATACGCACCAGGCACATGACAGGTGGATACACGTAACTGCACTGAGCGGAGGAGGCAACGCGCAGTGCACACACATCCGGACCTGAAAGCAAGGCTAGGGGACGCAAGCATGCTGGCCTGCAACACATCAAGTAATGCACTGGGTCATCACGCGGCTGGACGACGGATCCACGACCGACACAGTCCACACAGTAAGGTATCATTGTGCACAAATTCTGAAAACATGCCCACGAGCCAGTCGCCCGCGTCCTCTGGCGGTGCCAGCACATGATAAGCGCCGGCGTCGTGGGTGGCAAGACGGGCAGAACATTCCCTGTGCATAGGTAAAAGGCAGAGACCACATTCTTGCACGCTCCCCATCGCAGAGCCACATACCATACAGTCCGAAACTGCATCCAGTGGGCCAGCTCCAGCGTGATCCACCATACGTAGCAACCTATGGAGCGACTCAGCTATGGGTAGGAGGTGAGGTGGCATGACTAGGATGACTGCTAGAAATTTACAGGTTATCATTCTGAATGAAGAGACGTGTGTGAGTCGCGCCATCTAGTATACCATACATGCAATATATACATAAAATACGCAAGTACGATACACACTTACAAACAAACTAACCATGAATACATGCACCGCGCACACAGAGCACACGCACCCACTCGCATCCATGCCAATCGCAGAGCACAAGCCCCAGGCGACAGGACCACGGGTCCCACGAGTCGGTCCCCACACCCGCTGGTCAATTGCACGGTGCACGCGCACCTCCCTTACCACGTGCCACGCCTGCGCACCCATTGCACATGGCAGATCGCACCCGCAGGACGGCAGGGGCGGGGATGGGGGCGAGGTGGCGGGGTGGGGTAGGGAGACGGACGTCGCGGGCACGGGGGTGAGGCTGAAGAGGGAGGGCGATGAGGTCATCAGGGTCGACGAGGCTGGCATCAGACAGACAGACGTGGTCGGGGGTGCATGCGGTTGTGATATTAGAATTACCTACCTTGGCTAGAGGTGCGTATACATTTGCATGACCCCGTGAGTCCTGATAATATGCTCTGGAATTTCAGCCCGAAATACACCACGGCCCTTCAGGACTGCAACCCCGATGGTAGGAAGAATAATCGTGGCAGATCTGAGATCTCTGGCAGGGAAGAATCCAGCTGTCGGGTAAACTGCCCGGCCATCCTCAATCCGTATCAATCGACCTGTACGACCCTCTGTGTTCACCCAATGGACGAGGTATGACGTGGGCCCTCCGATGGCCACATCAGGAGTCCATACTAGCCCCATCTCCAAGACGTCCCCAGCGCGACGCCGAACTCCGCCAAGAGGCGTGGCC